TGGTGCTGGTGGTGTTGGTGGTGGTGGTGATGGTGATGGTGATGGTGGTGGTGATGGTGGTGGTGGTGGTGATGCTGGTGGTGATGGTGATGGTGGTGGTGGTGGTGGTGATGGTGGTGCAGAAGTCACACCAGCTACAAAAGGGTTCAGAAAGTGGTATGTGCTGCCCGTGCAGTCTGATGTCACCATTACTACTCAAATGATCTCTGGGACACCACCTCTGTAACTCGTCTTCCAAACAGGAAGTCAAAGAGGTAGTTATCAGGACCTCCCACTCCAGTCACTGTTCTAGATGACTGCTGGTCACCCAGTCCGTCTAGAGGACACAAAGCATGTTTCATGACTTCTTCTCAGATAGAATATGGCGGCTTGAGTGAGAATGGCCTCCACAGGCTCATCTATCGGAACATGCCATTCCTAGGTGGTTGGACTGTCTAGAAAGGATGAGGAAGTATGAGCTTGTTGGAGGAAGTATGTCTCTGGGGGTGGGCTGTGAGATTTCAAAAGCCCACGCCAGCCCCCCCCCCTCTCTGCCTGTGGATCAGAATGTAAGCTCCCAGCTACTCCTCCAACGCCATGCCTGCCTGCCTGCTGACACACTCCCTGACATGATGACCATAGGCTAACCCTCTGAAACGGTAAGCAAGTTCCCAAGTAAGTGCTTCTTCTAGAAGTAGCCTTGGCCATGATGTTTCATCACAGAAATAGTAAACCTGAGACGGAGCACTTACAGATAGCTTGGCCAACCTTCAACATCAAAGAGAAATGTCCTTATCTGCTGGACATGGCCCCTGGCCCATAGCTAGGAGATGTTGACGAGGGTCCAGAGCAAGCTTCTTAGCTTCCTGACCTTAAAATGGGGTCACTAGTCAAGCCAGACAAGGCCAGATCAGGTGCTCTACCACCTTGGGTAAAAAACGGTAGGATGAGTACAGGGTACCACTGTGACTACTGCTGTTGACTGTATCTTACAAACTTCCAGGTCCTGAAGTCATTTAATCACAGCCAGTCCCAAGTGCTGGTATCTAAAGGCCATTGCCTCTGGTGTCTCAGTACATTTCCGATGCCCCTGTCGTATTTCATGACAAGGAATGTTTCACACAACCTGAATTCTGGGCTGGAAAGTAAAAAAACAGGCGAAGGCCACTGGGCAAGTCCATAAGTGTCTTATGGTCTCTCGGTCCAGGAACAAGCTGATTTCTCCCTGAGTTTCCATCCCACTTGACATCAGCTTGTAACTCTAGAAACCCAAGTCTAACACACCGGCCTCTGATACACTACCTCCGTGCGTTGTCATTTCCTGCCACGCCGCCCTGAATCCAGAAGTCTGTCCACCCAACTCATTCATGGAGGAGTAGGGAGTTCCTGACAAACAGAGCCTATGCTGGGACTCAGGAAGCTGAGCGGAAGTCAGGAGGTAGGAGTGAAGGACAAGGGACGTACAACATAACCGACCCTCCCCACCACCCTGTTACATACTGGAAGTCCCTGTCCACAGACATCTGAAAAATAGATAACATTTGAAAATAACTTTCCTACTATTACTCTAAATAGTCTTTATTGTAATGGTGACAAAGATTTGTGCTTGTCTTCTTAAAAGTAAAGAAGGAGAAAGGAAATAAGGAAGAAGGGAGAGGGGGAGGGAGGGAAGGAGGGAGGGAGGGAGGGAGGAAGGGATCTAACTGATCAGTTCCACGCTGCCCCTGCACTGTCTCCTCTCCATGCAGGGCAGGAAGGGAGGAATCTTCATGAGCTCTAAATTCACTGCCCTGGTGATCTAAATTCAACCCCCCCCCCAAATGGTTTCCTTTTCATTGCACATGAAGCCAGAGAACCACAGCTAGGTCTCCCGAGGCCTGAAGGGTCTGGTGCCGGCCCACCTGTCCTGCCTCCCCACCCTCACCACTGCACTCTGGCCACAGGGCCTTCTATCTGTTCGCTGGACAAGATGGGCCCTGACCGGTCTCTGAGCTGTCACTCCAGGGATCTTACATCACTGGTGCCCGTCATCCCACAGGACTGTGGCTAACCCCACATCCCTTAGGACACTGCCTAAGCTCTGCCCCTCCTTCAACATGGCTTCCTCCTACTGGCCTTCGTTTATCCTAAAACTGTGGTTCTCTTATGTGTTCACTTGTTTTTCTAACTGCATGACACACTCAAATTCGAGTAGCCCCCAGCACCCCAGTCCCTGTTCAAAAGAAGTGCGTCTATCAGTCAAATGCATACATGAATTAAGGAGTAAAAATGAATGAAAAGGAACACAGTCGATTTATTATATACAGAGTTTTGCAATGCAAAGTCAATAAGAACTTAAACTCAAGTGGTTCGTGGTCTACGTTCAGCCTCATGCAGCCTAGACAGCGCAGTCCCATGCTGTGCATGGCCACACTGCCAACACCAGGCCTGACGCAATGATGGCCACACAGTGACAGCGGGTATCCTGGCCCAGAGTCACGTGAAGGCGGCTCAGACTTGCTCCCAGCTTTACAGGAGAGGGGCTGTATGTCACTGGGTATCCAGGCTTCTGGGCACCTGCTCTGGATCAGTCACTGACTCTGTCAAAGAACACTCACGGAGCAAGAATACTAACAATGAGGCAGCGGGTCACACAGGGATGGCACACCTTGCTTCAAACTCTGCAAGTCCAAACACGGGGACTAATCCGTGACTAGCAAAACACACACAAGGAAGAAAGTGGGAAGTGTCCCAAATGCCTAAGTTAAAAGGGACTACTCTGGTTATGGGGGACCAAGAAAGGTTTGATGGGGAAGGGTGGTGTTGGGGCTGGGCCTAACCACTGAATGGAATCGGGGTAGGTGGAAGAAAACGCAGTAGACCAGAGGCTCAGAGGGAGAAGACCGAGGAAGAGGAGATACTGAATCTGAATACTAGCCTAAAGCATGTAGGAGAAGCCAAGAAGCCATGTCTACCATGCTGGATTTCTACAAAAGATGTATTAGGAAGGAGGAAATATAAGCAGAGCTGTGCTTAGGACTGAAATAACAAAGCAGGGCATGTGGGACAGAGGGAGGATCAGAATCGAGGCCCCCAGTCATCCACTCAAGCAGGCACTTTGGGCACCTATGTGTCAAGCTGGGTTTGTGTACTTAAGATGGATAACTGAGGAAGGCAGTCAGAGGCTTCCCACCTTGGCGGTAGGGAGGGAGTTTACATTCCACCAGGAGAATAAACAATCACAAAAAAAAAAAATAGAATTCAAAGCATACTAGATGGCGATAAGCGTGATATGAAAAGAAAAAAAAAAAAAGAAAAGCAGAGTACAGGAACGAGATGGGTGCAGGGTATAGCATTAATCACAGCAGTCAGGGTACCCAAAGGTAAGACGAGAGCCCCTGTATGTCTAGGGAAGGACTCCCCACACAGAGCAAACCACCAGGGCATGTCCCATTCTGAGAGAGGCAAGAGGCCCTTGTCTTCACCCAGGCGTGAGCAGCCATGGAAAGAGTCCTTTCCCTCTGGTCATCCATCCTCTCTGAAGAACAGCGTTCGGCACTGGAAGGAAACAGGCTGTGACATCATGACAAGTCACGGAGGAAGAGTCTGTGTGTGTTTGGTGACAGAAGTCAGTCTGCAAAGGCTACCTGTGTGGCTGGACTGTGGGGGTGGGGAGAGACGGTTGTAGCTGGGGGCTGGGAGCGGAAGGGACGAGTAGCAGGGCACAGTTGGTTTCGGGCAGTGAAATTTACTCGTATTACACTATAGACGGTGGACTCTATCATTCCACATCTGTCCGAGCACACAGCATGTGGCATGCCAAAAGTGAACACAAACATAAACCGTGAATTGTGGGCGAGGATGGCCTGGTGAAGGCAGCTCACAAATGGAAACCGATGTGGAGGGTGTTGATAATGGGAGCGGTTAAGCTCCGAGAAATCCCTGTACTTTCCTCTCCATTTTGCGATGAGCTTAAAAATCGCAGATTTTTAAAGATATCTTTGTTTTAAAGACTTTCTAGGGCATGAGTGGAGAGACCATTGAGAAGGCAATTAGGCACTCGGATCAGGGACCAGGGTGAGGTGGGACCCAGGTAAGGTGATCAGGGCAGCAAGAGGGATATGGGACAATGGGCTATGCTGATTCCCCCTAAAGACACTGCCGACGGGGTTCCTGACGCATGGGATGCTGGGTGTGAGACAGACAGGAGCATTAAAGATGACCCCGGGGTTGCTAAGTCCAAACTAGCAAGGGTCTCCATGAGGGCTACAGCTTGAGGAAAGAGAGGTGGAGACAAATATGTCAGGTGGCGGCAACTAAGTGGAAAAGATTTGACCGTTCATCTTACCACTGGAAGGGCAGTGGAAGACAGACCAATTCGCCCAGCATCTTTATGGAAAGTCAACTCTCCATGCTGGCATGCACAAGGACTGAGTGCCTCACAGTCAATGCACCACAGTCCCTGACATGCAGGTATTTACAAAGCACCAAAATGGTACTTATTATTATTGCTGTTGTTGTTGTTGTTGTTGTTAATGAAGATTTTAATAAACTAGCAAGCCAATCAAATTAAATGTCAAATTGAATATGAATTGAATAAATATGAGATACATGACATACAATGTAAAATTTTAATATACAATATAAATTAATCAAAATATAATTTAATTATATTTAATTATTAATAATATTATATCAGGATTAACTGTTATTATTATAATGCTCTGTACCCCACCGAGCATTAGCTAACAGGGATCTAAAACATATTGAGGATGAGAAATGGTAGGTGTCCGCCATCACAGTGCTCTCTAAGAGCCTTACAGGTGGTGTACACAGAGGCCAGTGGACACATGAGGACTGAGGCAACTGTCCCTGCCTAAGGAGGTGAGATGGGTAGGTGGTGCTGGGAGGGGCTGAGAGTTCTGATGAGCTGGAGCTCACGCTGGGGTGTAAGGAAAGGGGCAGAGGTGAGGCAGGGGCCCCAACTCTTGAGTCTAAATGATGGGCTGCTCATCCCACAAAGGCAACGACTCAGTCTATCCTGTTCCCATTAGGTCTTCGGGACTCAGCACAGTACCTGGTACTCAGAAGACTCAGTAGATACCTTTTGAGTACAGATACAGGGAGCCCAGGAAAGGGGACAGACTGGAGGGAACAATGATTTTCTCCCCCCTGGGGTTTCCAATTCAAAGGAAGCTCTGAGCTTCCTGACAATGGTGTCACAAGGACCTGGTAACCCAGATGCAGCCCTGCCCCTAAAAGGCAGTGAGGCACCCGGTGGTGATGCTCAGGGGCTCCCTTGGCAGGTGCAGGGTACCTGTATTTCCTGGATGCTTTCCTCCTCTCTGGCATCCACCTTCTTCTCCACACCCTCACCACGAAGCAAGGCTTCCAATGTGGTGCTCTCAGAGGTAAAGCCATCTTTCTTCAGGGGCAGCTCTACTTCTGGAAAACAAAGACAGACAGATGGGTCAGGCACCCAGAAGCAGGTAAGACAAGAAGGGTGATCTTGGGGAACATGCAGAGTTCTTGGGTAGGACTCAAATGGCCTATGCCATCTCCTCTTGACAAACAGGACCATGGAACTGGCGTTGGGTTCAGCTTCCCCACCAGCGCACAGTCCCAGAGAAGATCTCCATCTTGCCCACTCCCTGGGCCAAGTCGAGGCAGAACAGAGAGGGGGCCCTCTAGAGGTAGGATCAGACTGCCCAAGTCTCAGTCCTGCTTCTTCTGCCACTCTGGGGTTATGACCCAGGACAGGATGCTGAAAGAGCTGGAGCCCATTTCTCCATCTATTAAGAGGAAGAACAGTGCCCAGGACCACGGGGTGTTTGAAAATGCTCAAGCACACCAACGATGTCTGCTTACTAGTGTCTTCAAGGTCTCCTCCCCTTGGCCCTGCTGGCTGCCTGGCTCTGCTTTGTTCCATAAAAAGCTATCAGCCTTGGGGAGACTGTTCTCATCAACTCACAGGGGAAGCAGAAGCCCCAAACCAGTGGAAAAAAGAGTGACGGCGATGTCCAACGGACTCCAGAGCGGCAGAGTAGGAAGACATTGCCGTGCATAGAGAAAACCGCAGCAAGAGTGCCAACACTCCCAACCCTGGAGAAATCAGTAAAGTAGGACTGCGGAGCATTTTTCCATAGACATTGGGAGTTATCTTGCTGGGCCTGGGAGCCAACAGGTACTGTTGTTTGGATGCAGAAACTCTCATTCCCACTCAGTTGCTACAAGCTTGGTACCCAGGGTGGTACTATTGAGAGATGGAGAGACCTTAGGCGATGGGTACTAGTGGGAAATGTCCTTAGGTCATTAGGATTATACCCATGAAAGGGATTGTACAACTCTGGTCTCTTCCTCCCCTCTCTCTTTCTGGTCATGAGGCTGGCAGTTTGTTCCAGGTATACACTCTCCACCATTGACATCTAGGGAAGCCCCAAAGCCGGGTCTGCCTGGCCAGGGACTAGAATCTTGAAAACTATAAGCCAAAATGAACCATTCTCTTTGTAAGTTAATATCTTAGGTATTCTCTTATAGTCACGGAAGGCTAACATACTGGGCAGTTAAGAGGGCTGGAGGCAACCTGCTCCTGAGAGAGACCAGAGAGAGCTTCTGACTCTTCCCCAAAATGCTCCCCAAACCTGAGGTGCTCCCCAAGCTCTTGACAGAGAATTTTAACTTTTTTTAAGAACAGAAAACTAAGGTATTAAGTGATATTTTGGTTTAACCATATAATTTTCTTCCAATCTCTTCTTGATCTCAAACCTCACTGACTCTCTCTCACACACACACACACACGTAATTAAAAAAAAACACAAGCATTGGATCAACCACCAATGAAACTTTACCATCATCTATTGACCAATAAATATCTGTTGGGCACCTGTCATGGGACAGCCACTGTTTTGGAACTAGAGAGGTGACCAAATAATGGCAGAACTGTCTTTGGATGACTTAAAGATGCAGCTATGAAATGTTAAATGTAAAACGAAGATGCAGTTATGATCTCTACAAAGGAAAATGGTGAGGGGGCAGCTACTTTACTTCAGTGTCAGGGAAGGCATGTGTGGTGGAGTTATAATTAATAACTTATAATTAATAAGTTATAATTATAATAACTTATAATTAATAAGTTATAATTAAGTTGAGTGTTAACTATCCCAAATAATTAAGGTGTGTTGCCTTGTACCCTGTCCTCAGTCAAGCAGCAGGTCACCATCCCTCAAACTTACAATAATCTGATGTGTATGTATGAATTTATCCTTTAACCTTCTGACAATAAATGTGTCCGATTTCCAGAATGGCACCGTGTTTTAGAGCAGGAAAAGTCCAGTCATCTAATCCAATTTCATCTCCTTTTATAAGTGAGTCACTGTAGCTCAGAGAAGTCAAGCAACTTCACCAAGAGCAGGCAGGAAAGCCATCAGATGATCTTTCAAAACCCGGTAAAGATCATGACAAGAACCCCGAGTCGTTATAACCTTATCAGTAAAGAACAAGCCCAGGCAAAGCCAGGATGGCGCTTTGGTGCCCCGGTGCACATGCAGAGGACAGGGTGAAGCAGAAACACCCAACATGCAGACGCTGTCACTGCCAGATGCCACCTAATCCCCATCACACCACAGAGCTTAGAGTTATTCCATTTTACAGATGAGGCGGCTCAGCGCAGGGAGGTTTAGAACCCGCTTACCACCTATCACAGGACTGGAGAGGAGCTCCGTACCCTCCCACCTAATCACGCTAAAAGAGCTCTACCACCAGCCCCTTCTCTCTTCCTAGGAAGAAGGAAGGTGTCTTTCCAAAGCTTTGTGCATTCCCACTGCATCCCTAGGCCCTCCCTGTGGTTTTCAGATTTCAGGATGAGAGGCGCATCTCTGCTGACGCTGCGGGCAGTTTGCAGCATGGTGCCGAGCTCTGCGAGAAAATCTCAAGTCTCCCCATCCTCCTGAAACCAACCCCCCTCCCCAATCCATGCAGAATTTCCCATGGGCTGCGAACTTCCCCCTCCCGCTGCCCTTTCTTCCTCCCCCGCTAACCAGGCCTCCATCTCGCCTTTCATCGTTCACTCTGTACTCGGTCCTCCTTAACTGGATGGGCTGGCATGTACAAGGTAAGAATCAAGAGAGGAAAGGGAGCCGAAGCAGTGAAAATGCAGCAGGTTCCCAACATGCAAAGGGCTCCAAGGGATAGCCAGTGACACCTGAGGTCCAGGTCCTTCAGGAAGAAAGCAGAGCGTAGAGACACAGAGGGGCTTTGCATCACATCGACCGAGCGGCATCACTCTCCCCTAAATGCCAACGTATTTTATTGGCTCGTATAGCTTCATTTTCAGACGTGAAGTCAAACCCTATTAAGTCTTGCTTGGGGCAGTTTCTTAACCTAAGTCTCTGTTGATGAGTTACATGGGGTGATACAGGCGTGGACCTCATAGTGTTGGTACAAGAATCGAACAAGGTAGGGGCCGGAGAGATCGCTCATTGGTTAAGAGTACTGACTGCTCTTGCAGAGGACCTGGGTTCAATTCCCAGCACCCACATAGAAGCTCACAATTGTCTGTAATCCATCTCCAAATGTAATCCACCCTCACACAGACATACATGCGGGTAAAACAAAATGCACATAAAATAAAAATAAAGCATTAAAAAAGGAAGAAGGACATTGAAAAAGAATCAAAGAAGGTAGTATGTATAAAGAAATTCCAAAAGATTCACCCCAAAACCTAGTATGTGAAACATTATGAGAGGCATGTTGATTTTTTTTTATGTTTCATTCTATTTAAAATTTGAGTTCTAAATTGGGTGATATGTGCAAAGAACCTGGACAGTTTGAGCGTCCCACAATTGCTGTAAGTTATTATAACCAAACTTTTAATCACTAATGTTAATGGTCCAATAGAAATCCAGTAAAAGCTACTTGTATCATCCTAAATTTTCTAGTCATATTTTTGAAAGACAAGAAACAGGTGCAATTAAGTTTCATATTTTCTCTATCCAAAATACTACCATATCACCATGAAATAAATATGTGAAAACTGATGTGATGTTTTACAGTCTTTTAGACCTTACTGGTATATATGTTCCCCTTATAACACATATAAATTCAGATGAGGGCTCCAAAGCCACATGAGGCTAGCGGCTACCCACCGGACAGAGCAGCTTTACAGCATTAAAAGAAATGCTTAGGGAGATTCTTGCTTTCGGTAGGTGGACAGAATTTAAACATGGTTTTAATGTTGTCTGTTTAATGCCCAGTGGAGTACCATTCCATGAGCGGCATTCAGGCTGACCTCTGGCAAACCCTGTTCACAAAGCATTGTAAGAAAGGTTTGGCGAGTCAGAATGAAAGGCTCACCCCATCCCCCAGACAACCCAGCAGAGGGTACGTTCTCTGCCTCTTAACCACAGGGGGTCCCCAGAGCACATCAAGGAGAAAGGTGACAGGTCCAAGCTCTCCCACAATGTACACACTGCATACACTCCTGGGAACCCTGGGGAATGTTACTGATTCAATTTTATTCTAATGTGGCTCATCTGGATATAGGATCCAGTGACTCTTTAAAAGGCTTCTCTTATTTAACCCCATATGAAGTTGGAGACCACATAACCCCGACAGGAACCATCAAACATTTAACATCAAAAGAAAATGGGCCAACACACACACACACACACACACACAATTCATTTTTAAATCGGTCTGATTTTATACACAGGGATGTGAACCTATGGATCGTTACTCTCTCCAGAGTAGCAGCAGCTGTCACCCAAGCCAGCCACCTCCCTGGGACCCGGAGGCAGCTCTGCCTCCACTTCTAATTGGGAACAGAGATACTCCTTGGGTGACTTCCAGCACGATCCATCACACCAGAGACAGTTTCTGTGCAAACCGAAACAAATCGGTTTCCAAATAAGAAAAAAAAAAAAAAAAAAACACCTCTTAGACAAACAAGGATTGAAGCATCGGAAGTCCAAAGAGAAAAGGAAAACACACACACACACACACACACACACACACCACAAATAAAAGCAGAGGGGGGAAAAACTGCCAGTGAAGCACTGTGGCTTCTCCCCAGGTTCCGGACAGGGCAGCCTTCCTTGGGTGCAGATCAAAGCCATAAGCTTTTGACACAGGTGCCCTAAGCCTGCCACCCAATGCACCAAAAGAAAAGCTTCCACTGGGTTGTTGGAGCCACTGAGCTCATTAACAGGGCGCAGTCAAGATGAGCCTGAAAGTGCGACATGGGAGCAGAGTGAGTAATTAAATCCCAGGTCATTTAAAAATGCAAACGCCTTGGATGTCACAGGCTCCCTGAGCCTCTGACTCCTTCTCCTTCATTATTAGGCTAAGGATGGAGGGCTGGGAACCTCCAACTCGTATATGGATTATAATAAAATATGCTGCATAAAAAAAAAAAACAGATTAAGACAGGTCTTCTTTGGGGAAATATA